GCTCGATGAGTCTCGGGATGGCTTGTTGGATGAGTTCGCGGAGCGTGGGGACGTCGTCCATGTTCGCCTCGCCCTCGACCTCGTCGTCGGCGCCGGTCACCATCTCCATGTCGGCCATGTCGTCCTCGTCCATGGAGGAGTCGTCGTCATCGCCGCCGACGTTGTCTTCCTCCCCTGAAGCTTTGTCGTCGATGTCCTCGTCCATAGCGGCATCGTCTCCAATTCCGTTCCATTCCTCGCCTCCCTTCTTGTTGCCGCCTTGCATGGATACTTGGAGGGTGGTGCCAATGTCGGCCAGGATCTCCAGTGCGAGCTGGAGGACCTCGGTCGGGTTGGACCATTGGCTCTTGGGTGGCAAGTCAGCTGCCGGCTCGGAGCCCTGGAGTGCTGATGACAGAGTCGGGATGAGTGCGGCGTCGGAGAGGTTCTTCTGACCCGGTGTGCTGTCGAACCACTCCAAAGTTGTGAAGATGTTGTGCAGAACACCGCAAGCCAAGACGCCCTTGGCATCGGCAGTGGCTTGCAGCTTCGTTAAGGTCGTGAGGGGCTTGGGGTTCTCGTCGGCCACGACATCCTCTGCCAGACGACGGTTGTCCTCAGATAAGGTAAGGAGAGCAGACAGCGCCTCGAGGCAGATGCTTGACGGTGAGTCGGCGTGAGCTACAAGCGTGAATAGGAGGTTCTTGATGCCCTCGATTCCAACGATGGCCTCAAGAATCTCATCCTGAGCCTCGGCGAGTGCAGACAGGAGTGCGACGACGGACTCGGCAATGGCCCATGTGACCTTGGCCTCGCCCTTGCTCACTGCGGAGCCCTTGGCCAGGTTCTCGAGAATCTAGTGAAAAGTTAACCAACGAACTCACTTGAGATATTATATGAATGGGCACTTACAGCCTGAGAAGCAAAGCCGATGGCACTGAGAATATCCAGGCGGTACAGGTGAATACAAAAGTCGGCCTCTTCCTCCTCGGCAATGACCCTCAGAATGTCCCAGCCGGCGGCGCGGCTGTCGAGGTTTGCGTCGGTCAACGTCTCATTGAGGACGATGTGGACAATCTGCTCGCGCAGCAGCAGCTTCCGGCACTTTTCGTCGGTGACGATGTTAGAGACAGCGGCGGCGGCGGCCGTGCGGGACTTCGGGTCGGAGCTCTTGAGGTCCTTGATGACGGGCAGAATGGACTTTTCTCTGAGGGCGGCCAGCTCGGGGTCAGAGGGCGGCTTAACGGTTTTGGCGATGGGGTCCTTGCGATGGCTCTGGGCGCCTCTGTTTCGTCTGGACTTTCCCATTGTGGCGGGGTTTATGGGTGAATGAGTAGCTTGAGACAGGGGATACGAGAAATGAATGACCTATGAGGTGAAAAATATGAGACTTTAGCTGAAAGTGAGGGGGGTTATTTGTGTTGGAATTTCTTCGTGACCGACCTCTAAAAATCGCCCCGCGATTGCGCTTCAGAAGAAAAAAAAATCAGAAAACGGTTGCTCGGGGCAGCCACATTGTGGCTCGTGTGGCGCCCCGCATCGTGGTGCACCACCACAGTTCACCGATGACATTGCAACGCCTCACTGAAGGAAACGTGGGCGCACAGCTGTCGGGCCGGACTGAGAAGTACCTTTCCCCACTCGTCATTAAGCTGTACCACGCTAAATTCAGGAACGGTACTTTGGCCCAAGTCAAGTCCCCCGCCAGCTCCTTGCTGTCTTACCAGCTCATCAGTCCGTCTCTTCAATTCATGATTCGAGTGACACAACTTACTGCGACAAACTGCACGGCTTTCTTCGCCAACAAGCAACACCGCTGCGAGGTCACTGCTCTCCGTTGCCATTTTTGGATGATCTGACCGGCCATTCTCCAAGCCGGACGGACACCTCACTCGATCCTCCAACGGCACCCAGGTCCCGCGCGTCCGTACCCCGGATCCTTTGCAGAACAGCAGCCCAGGGCCCTTGGAAACGCCACCTTTCTCCAACTTTGCACGACGGGACCAGCTTCTCCTCAGCAAGCCGTGTGTTTCCTCGCGCATGAACCACGTCGCTGATCGCCGCCTCTGGAGCTCTCGTCGCAATCGAAAGCTCCCCCTTCCCGAGGTCCCGTCTCCCCGTCGCGGTCCGGCCAAGCTCCACAGATCCACCGTCCGACACTTGAACCCACAAAGCTGCAGCACGACACCCGCTTGCACAGCCCAGCAGCAGGGACGCCGGCGCAAGGAGCAAGGGAAAAGCAACCCTGGCCAGACGAGACGCACTTTCAGGTCAGGGACACGCTACTGCGCAATAAGGTGCGCAATTGCCGGCACCAGGGAACCGCCCGTCACAGTCACAGGTCGGGCAGGTCCAGTCCAGGTCAGAGCAGAGGGAAGGGCGAAGGGACCACTTGTTGTTTCGTTCCACACACCCTTTACCTGGCCAAGTCCAAGTCCACGTCAAGTCAAGTCGACGTCTTGTCCTGACCTGTCCTCTTGCTTGGAGCTCGACATCCAGCTAGCTGCATCTACGAATCCGTTGACGGGAAGATGTGAGACGCCCAACCAACCCTCGGATCACCTCGTCCCCTCCCTTGCAGCTGCATTCCCAGTCATTACAGTCGCCCTCTAATCAACGCTTTGCTGTCACTTCTCTTCTGCCCTCTTCCTTTCTTCCCTTCTTCCCTTCTTCTCCCCTCCCTGCTGTGCTGCAGTTCCGTCTCTCCAGATAGAGAAGCATGCCGGACCCATGGCGACAACTACGCTCCCTCGTTTTCCTCAGCGATGAAGAGATGGGCAAGAAGGACGACGACCACTACCGCGGCGGCGGCAGCAACGTGAACCCCATGCTGCTACGAAACAGAAACCCCCAATGGCAACCGGCCGCCAAGATGCCATCCCGCCGTCTCTTCCGACGCCTCGCCTACCTCTTCCTAATCGCTGCTGGTATCTGGTACTTCCTCGGTGACCTCTCCTTCGCCGAACGACGCCCCAACTACATCTACCCGTACACCGACGGCCCCCGAGACTACATCCCCTCCCCGATCCGCGATGGTCCTCCCCGGAGGAGTGGCGGCGGTCGCAAGGCCAAGCCTGGAACGCCCATGCCCCCGATCGCCGAACACGACTACAACGGCCCGGTCAAGTTCCACCGTCTGGCGTCTTCGCTGCACGCAATCGCTGCGACCAAGGGCGGACAGACGATCAACCAGAATGTGCTTTTTGCGGCATCGAGTCTACACAGCGCGTCGACGTTGCTGCCATTCGCCTGCAAGATGGGCATGGAGCTGAGGAACTATGTGCACTTTGCGGTTATGGGCCGCAGTGAGCTCGAGCTCGACGAGATCAAGAAGATCAACGGAATAGACGACAGCTGCTACATCATCTGGCACGATGCCCGCGCCGACTTCTCCTCCCTTTCGACCGACGCCCGCCTAGAGCTGTCCGTCGTCCGCGGACTTCGAAACATCAATACCTTTATGCACCCGCAGGCGATCATGGTCGATGGCACCGACGACGAGCTCTTCCCGTTTCTGAAGGGCATGCGACAAGAGGCCGGGGCGCTGAAGATCCCGCTGATCGAGCTTCCCAAGGAGGCGTCGAAGCAGCTCTGGTGGTTGTCGAAGCTCGATAGTCCGTCGCTCGCAGCTTGGAACAAGGTCAGCGTCGATATTCTCATCCAAGCCCCGGCCAGCGGCTCCGGCAGCCTGCTGCGACTGCTGAGGTCACTGAACGAGGTCGACTTCACCGCATTCACGATCCCCCACCTTACCATCGAGCTGCCGCAAGACATTGAGCCCGCGACGGCCAAGTTCCTCGAGGATTTTCATTGGCCACCCTCACACGTGGCAAACCCCGGCAGGACGCAGATGTTATCACTGAGACATAGGATACCGCGGCAGCGGATGACGGAAGAGGAGAGCTCCATCCGGTTTCTAGAGTCGTTCTGGCCAACGACACCCAGGTTTTCTCATATTCTTGTTCTATCACCGCAGGCGGAGTTGGCACCGGGCTTCTTTCATTGTGAGTTACTCGTGCTTGCGTTTGGGTTACCTAACTGACTGGCCCTAGATCTAAAATACTCTCTGCTGGAGTACCGCTACTCTGGATACTCGGTAGTCCAGAAATGGGACCAGCGTCTAATCGGCATCAGTCTCACCGCTCCGTCAGTTTACCTGAATGGCAAGAAGGCGTTTGTGGAGCCAATATCTGATGGCCCGGATGAGATGGGTACCTCGTACATGTGGCAGGCGCCCAGCAGCAACGCTATGCTGATATTCGGCGAGAAGTGGGTCGAGCTTCACGGTCTTGTATCTCAGGTGGACGCGTTGAAGAGCTCGCGCGCTCCTGAGAATATTCCAGAGATGGTGACCACCAAGGAGGTCAGCAAGATGTTCCCCTCTTGGCTGGAACACGTTTTGCGGCTATCTCGATTGCGAGGTTACTTCACGGTTTATCCCAGCGCCGAGACGGGCGCCACAGTAGCCAAGGTGCACAACGAGCTGTACCGGGGCCCTGAAGAATACGAAATGGAGGCCGACGAACGGAAGAAGCTCAGGGCGAATCTGGCAGAGTCAATACATAACTCCGAGTCGCTCGTCCGCACGCTGGACACCCTCCCGAACAACGGCACCCTCACCCCCTGCAAGGATCTGCCGATGCTTGGCTGGGAGGGCGATAGCATGGGGCTGCGGGACGTGTATCAGCGGGCGGTGGAGTACATGTTTGCATGGCGCGAGGTCGTCGGCGGGTGCAACGCGGAAGCAAAGCAGAGCGATCACATTGACGGTTCCGCGAGGGACCTGTTCTGCACGCCTGACGGCAAGCTGAAGGGTTAAGAAAAGAAACAAGAATGCGCAAGACGCAGGCCGTGTGTATTTCACATATATAGACTGCATTTCGATATATACCCACGGGGAATGGATAAAACACATCAGCAAGGACTGATGCACGGCGCGAGCGAAAGACTGGGGTTGGCATTGGGAAGCATAGTAGGCGCTAAGGGAAAAAGAACTTTCTGAATTAACTGTTTCTTTATTTTCACAAAACATGCGATGCAGTGAAGTCTGACTTGAGCATGTTGTCTGAGGTATTGTTGTTGGTGCTGGCGAGCTTGGTGATGACTAGGAGGACTATGCACGTGCCTACGATGCTGAGGGCCACGAAGGAGAGGACAAGCTGTGTTCTCCAGCCGGTCTGCACGATGGCTGCTTTGCGGCTGTATTTGTTTACCGTTTCTGTTATTTTGGTCAGTTTGGTCGCGTCACTGGGGGGGTGAGGGACGGTTGATGTGAAGAAAACGGAGAGAAAGCGACACAGAGAGAGAGAGAGAGTGTGTGTGTGTCTGAGATGGGGAGCGAGAAAGAGGAAAGAAACTCACTAATGTAGTTTCCTATGCCGAGACACAGACACGAGACGGCGAGGCACCAGAAGATGACGCCGAGCGGCTTCGCCATGCGCAGCTCGAGCTCGCTGGGTTCGGATTTGAGGTGGAAGGAGAGGACGATTGCGACGGAGACGATGGACATGTAGACTGAGAGGCGGAGGTATGAGAGGAATGCTGTGAGATTCTGTCAGTTTGGGTTACCGGAGGCTGAGAACTGAAGCACCGGAGGGAGCGGTAAAAGCAGATGGGAGGGCGGCATCTTACTTCTCTCATTCGCGCAGTGGTCCCGCGCGTCGCTGGACTCATTCTGGAAGAGCAGCGGGCCGAGGATGGGCCAGGCGAGGAATGTCGAGGTGCCTGCGTGGCCGTAGCCGCTGTTGATGGGAGTTCCTGGTTAGCCTGGTGTTCGGAGCGTAGGGTTCATGTCTGTGTGGTTTTCTTCGTTTTGTGACTTCATGAGATGACGTCGGGGTGTCATGGGATGAACGCGGGCTGGAGTGGACTTGGACGTACCCGATCTCGCCGACCTCGACCGGCCGCAGGAGGCTTGAGGGCCGGAGGGGCGCGCAGCAGGTGAAGGTGAGGTCTTCGTCGTCTATTTGGGTCGAAGACATGTTGGAGGGCGTATATGAAATGGATTGTGACGGTGCAGGGCTGAGGGAATGAAGCCCGTTGAAGGATCGAGAGATGAGGATTTTGGGAGGAAATGATGGTGCTGGATTTGGTCACAAGCGCCATGTATGAGGTGATTTGAGCACTGTACATACTTGGGGGAAGTCAGGTAGCGAGGAAGGATGTGCGGGCAGGGTATGGGCACTGTGCGGCTGTCGCGGTTTGAGGACGGCGACCTTCGGTTTCGGCCCCACTTTACTCGGGCGGGAAGGGACTCTACCATCGCTCTCAACGTAACCATCGTCTGTGGCACGAGTTCTCACAGTCGAGTTACTGTGACTTTTCTTGATGTGGTCCTACTATTGGTGGCTTCCAAGCTGCTGCATGTCTTGGCAAAGCGCTCATGCCGTCGGTGGACAGCCTGCTTGTCTGCCTAACGGCACATTCCATACTGCACTAAAGCTGACACCCTCGCCACTCAAGCTAGCCTCGAGACCTCAACTTCAGTTCGTCTGCAAACTCCTCGCTCTGGGACAATTGAACGACGCTTCTTGAGAGAAAATGTCTTTCGGTTGGTCGGCAGGCGACATCGCCGCAGCGATAAAACTAGTGTACAACGTCTACGAGGCCCTCGATAGCTCTGCCGGGGCTTCTCGCGACTATCGGGACGCCGTTACCTTTCTGAAATCACTCATCCATACGCTGAATCCGCTCACAAATCTGGCTGACTGGGAAGCGTACCCGGCATACCGTGAGGATATAAAGCGGCAAGTTGAGCTTATCAGAATCCCTGTCACGGAATTCCTTCAGAGCATCGAAAAGTATGAGCCGACACTGGGACGCACTGCAAAGAGCGGCAGATTGAGGCAGTTTGCTCCAAAGCTGAAGTGGCACGTGTTCTGTACGAAGCAAACCCTCGCCCTCAAAAGCCGGATCCAGTCGCATATGAGTGTGTTAAACATAGTTATGCATAGGCTGACCGTGTGAGTTCATACTCCAGCATCATTTGTCTCGCATTACCCCTCTCCAGGCGATCTTTTGATTGTATTTCCGTTATTTAATAGCCCTTTATGTCTCCATCATCTCAGTTGATATTTGTCGTCCCAACTGCCTTGCCTTTATTTGATCTTACCGCACTTCTACTCCCATGCCAAATGCCTTCCTGTCGTGAGTAAATCGGACGTGTGCATTTCAACACATATTAAGTAGGCTAAGATATTGACTACTGACATTTGGACTGAAAGTGATATCGTTATCCAGACCCAGAAAGATCTACCGGAACTATGTCGATCTGTTTTCCAGGATACAATTAGACCGGAGCTCGCAGCAACTTTTACGGATGCTTTAAGACAAGACTTCGTCGGATTGCTAGAGGCGCAAAAGGGAGAGAACCAAAAGTTCGAACGAAGCATCATTGGAGACTTACAGAACCTCAAGAAGAGTTTTGAGCCTTACAGCAGCTCTATCATGCATTCTCGGATTGTTGACGTGTCTGCAGCTGCTACTGTCAGACCTCCACATACGGCAGACAACAAGTCATGTCGTAGTCGATCCATCGGCCTGCCTAACTCTACTACAACAAACGGCGGTCGTTCTCGGGAATGTCTTGAAGAGTTGTAAGTGCTTTAGACAACAAACCCAGGGATCAAGGAAAGCTGACGAATTCAAGGTACTATCTTGTGTTGGTTTACCTAGGCCACTTTCTGCGAGATTTGTTGTATGTCCGCTTTAACGACTCTTCATATTAATGACCTTCACTTACAAAATGCATGTACAGTGGTCTACTCTCATGGATTATGCAGCCCACAAAGCAGCTCATGCCAGACCTCGTGGCCAAATTCCACCTCACGTTCTTCGATGCTGTGGGAGGTGCCCCTCGAGTTCTGCAATACGATGCTTTCCGGAGCTTTGAGGTAATTCTTGGTTCCTAGGACTGAGCCACGGACTGAAATAGCAATGGCAAATCGCCTTCCAGCTAACCGTCCCTCTTCGAAATAGACCTTGCAGGCTTTCATCCAAAGCGAATTTGGCACCATTCAATTAGTATCTCGCCTACAATATCTGATACTTGAGGAGAATGGCCGAGTCCTGGACGAGACCAACTGGCGAGACGGCGTCGTTCCCGGAAGCAAGATTGCTATGTCTGTTATCTTCAGAACTTTCGAAAGGGGCCTAAAGTCACACAGGCTACAAATTTGCCCCCGAAAGCTCTGCGAAGGTGCCCGACTGATTAAGGTCTCTCCAGGATGGCAAGCATGGTACGTGCATTGCTACTTGGGCGAAGCTCGAGCGAGGACTAAACACTAAGCAAACACAGTCCACGGTGCGAAAAGAACTTTTTCTGTAGCCCTTGTCCACAGGAAGCGGCCAAGATCAAAGCCCGTCTGAAGACCAGTTCATTCAGCAGTGTTCCCACTCAATGTCCTTCACAACTGCGTCGGCTGAAAACTCGTCAGCCTCCCACACGACTAACACCAGCGAAAATCTCCCAAGACCTCAAAAGAGATGGGAGCATATTTGAACAAGTCGAAAAATTCGAAAAGGAGAGTGAAGAGGTCATGTTTTCTCGAATCTTCCCGAGGTTCGAAAACTTGTGGTCGGTTATGGCTCGCATTAGCAGGACACACCCGTTCGAGGAGTTCGACATTAAACGAGTGCAGAGCAAATATCCCGGGCTCCCTGACCAAATTTCTCTTCGACTGGGGAAAGCAAACAGCTTGAGACGTCAGGTCTTCAGATATTGGGCGACACAGGCGAAACCCCCACCTTCAAGCCACGTATGTGGCGACTCCGTAGAGATGACCACGCAGGCCATCGAGCTATCCGGAAAGACGCGCAGCAGTGACATAGGTTCCTTTGATATGGTGGTGGGAATTCATGGCGCATTAGCAGGCGCCTATACCAATTTGTTCAAACTTCGATCGGATTGCACCCACTGTGTCGATTGCGTAATTTGCTTCAGATCTACGCCGCAGCTCTTGGGACTTCACAGGTAAATTACCCACATACGTCGAGGAGGCAAGAGCACCGTTTACGAATGTCTGTTGGTCCGTAGGAAGTTTCACTTGCTCCAAGATGTGCAGCCTTACATCTGCCTCCATGATTCTTGCCAAGATCCACCAAAGTTCTTCCATCAGCGACACGACTGGATTAACCACAACCTGGAAGCGCATCGAGGCAACATATTTCCGGGAATCCCCTTCAATGATGGCGAGGAATGCCCAATGTGCTTTCGTCGTATCGAAAGCGCAGGGAATCATATCGCACGGCATATGGAGCATCTTGCTGCGTACTCAATTCCTTCAGATGATGACTGAGGTACTGAAATTGACCACTCAGCTGGACAGAAGACTTCACATTTGAGATTGATTTTGGGTTTTCACTTGTTTTCACTAGTCGTTGGTCAACTGATATCACCGCATCATAATATTCCGGGTGGTGTTGTGATGCAGTGTCAAGTGTTGCTCGGAAAGCTGAACAGCTCGCAACAAAAACTCAATAATCTGATGATGACATGCTGATTCTAAGATTGACATTGAATTCTATCTCGCCTAATTGGTTTGCACCTCGTAATTGTAAGGCCTTCCTGTGAGAAACATCCGTCGAACGTCTCCATTATCATGCGAAAATTCTCGACAAGGCCTCTCCTGTGTATCTTGAAACCTGGAGTGAGCCATCCAAGCATCGTCTGTTGGAGAGTTATAGGAGCCGAAGTCGTACCAGGCAGCAATATGCGCCTGGTGTCCATCAAATGAGACACTGAAATCCGTCAGACAAATCGAGCAGTGTCCGAAGCTGTCATAACACGGCGAGTAATCACTCTTTCTGTATGCGTACTGGGCATGTTCTCGAAAGGCCGTGAGGCCATGCTGTCTTCGGGAAATCCCCGACAATATCCCCCCATCCACGGTGGCCATGTGAGGGCACAGCTCAAGAAACCAGAGCGAATGGGGCGTCATGCGCATCCCTTGCAGCATTCCGACTGACCACCTCTCTTGCAACATGGATCGCCCGTTGACCAACTTGGGCGTAGCTTCATATATCCATGTACAGTATTCATCCTGCCGTTGGTGCGGGTAACCGATGAATGCCTGCAAGGACGGCTCCAATAAGCTCTGCAGGTGCTTCTGGTAGAAGTCACTGAAACGCGTGCGCTTGAGGGCCAGCTGTATTTCCGCTTCTCGAACGGCATAGAAGCGGGCTAGTGTATCTGGCCTGAGGTCGCTTCGAAGAGAACACGAAAAATGGGGCGCGATTCGGAAAGCTTCTAGGTCTTTTACGTTGATTGGGTGGAGGGTTTCGCAACACGGGCATACCCATCTGTCAGGGATGAAGTTTGAGATCCCAGCCCAGAAATTGAACCTGGCGGTGGAGTGAGTAGCAGCCTTTCTTTTTCTCACCTCTAGTGCTTTGATGCACGAGGGACAGGTCTTCGATTTGGTACAATCTGCACAACCTGAAGAGGGCGCGGCTTCGGGGAAAATTCCAAGCGCGCGGAGTTCTTTCTCCACTCGCCCATGGGTCAGCCGCCGGAGGGGTCCGCAAGTTTTACTGAGAAAATACAGCTCGTGCAGTTCTAGGTAGTCGGCGATGTCGTATATCAGTTCAGGAGGAAGTTGGAGGAGCGGAAATTTGAATGCGTCAGGTCGCCTGCCCATACCGAGTGCAGCTTTGACGAACGACTTGATTTGAGCCTTGATTTTCAACATCGTGTCTAATTGTCAACGAAGAATAGCGTTGAAATTGGACAGACAGAGGATTTGTGAAGAAATGAATGAGAATGAGGATGAGGCTCGTCAGTTAGCGGGGGTGAGGATAGATCTTCGATGGTTTTATAGAATTCTTCTCAGCTACTCGTAACTAATCTCCGATACATATTGATGCCGAAGTCTCAAGGTGTATATGGACAACCTCAATATGACACCTTGACATTTGTTACATCAGTACAAATGTGCAAATGCCTGATGATTCAACCCTGATGAGCATACAACGATCATGTTTTGCGGCTTCTATCTTGCAGCTGGGTGGATCGTCGAGCCATTCTACGACCTTTGCAATCGCTTGCTAGCTGGAAATTCGGCTGGACCCCATATTTCATATTGCTTGAACTACATTCAATCTCCAATGGAGAAAGAGGCCCGCTAATTTCACACATTTTGTAGCATCCAGAAAGCTTCGTTTCAAGAGGTTGAGAAGCGACAGGAAGACTGGTAACGGAGAAGGGGGGAAAACAAGATACAGCAAAGCGGTAAAGATCAAGAAACTAACTCAAAGATAGTTCTGGGCGGCCTCTGGCTAGCCGGGTGGGTAGTAAATGTACACCGATGATCGATGATAACGACAACGACGACGACGACGACGACGACGACGATAATAACGACGATAATGAGAGGGATAGAGAGAGGGATAGGAATAGCGACGATAATAGCAAAATAATTAGGATAAAATAAACTCCTAGACCTATCTAATAAAGGTAGTCATGCGCTTGGATAGCAGAACTCCTAAACAATAGCGTTAATAAAGAAAGAAGGTAAGAATAGTACGATCGGTTGAAGAGTTTGGTTTACTTTGTTCAACGAAAATCTGCAGCTAGTGCGCATTACTAATGCAACATGGATTTCTCGTGAACTATGAAACATGCATGTAATTTGTTGACCTGAGTGACCTAGCCAAGGGCCGCAAGAAGCGACCTATAGCCACCATTAGCACTGACCGCCGCTCCATTAACCCACTTGCTCTCGTCACTAGCAAGAAAACCGACGATGTATGCAACATCGTCTGGAACTCCCATGCGGTACGCCGCCGAAGCACTCGCTTTAAGCTTTTCCTCAAACTCAGCAGGGAGCGCGCTCATCGTATTAACCAGCGCATCCGTAGCGGTTGGTCCCACTACGACTGTGTTGAACGTAATGCCGGTGCCGATGGCGAAGCTACCCGCAAAGGACCTCGTGTAGCTATCGAGGGTCGCTTTACAGGCGCCATACGTGATGATCGGGTCGTTGTTCGCTTCCCTTCCAGCGACGCTGGAGATGTTGATGACGCGACCGCCTGTCTTAGGCGCGTGCTTCATGAACTCAACGATGGTTGCAACCGGGGAGTACACGTTGGCGATCATCGCCTTTGTGAAGTCTTCTGCGGTGGTTTCTCCCGCCGGCTTGAAGTCTTGGAAAGATCCCCAGATGGCGTTGTTGACTAGGATGTCAATTTCGGAGACGCCCAGGGCGTCGATCGAGTCTTTAACAACTTTCGGCCACGCCGTTGGATCAGGGGCGTCAGCTTGAAGGGCAACTGCTTTCTTGATACCGTGAGCACGGCATTGATCAAGAGTATCCTCAGCTGCAGCCTTGTTTGATGCGTAAGTGATGGCGATGTTGGCAAGCCCTTTACGAGCTAGGTAGATTGCAACAGCCTTCCCGATGCCCCTTGAGGCCCCGGTGATGAGGGCCGTCTTGCCGCTTAGGGACCAAGGCTGAATGGCGCTGGCGTTCTCAGATGAAGACATGATGAAATTGGAAGAGTGATCTGAAATTTGTAGGAAAGATTTATTGTACTGTTGTGATTGATAATGTCCAGAATATAGATCGTGTAGCAGACGGTTCCGCCCTTATAATCGCGGCAAGTCTCCGTGTAGATGCGATACCGGGTAGCCGGACATCTCAACAGAACCGTGTAATTCATGATTTCCAAGCAGTCCGACAAACTGCATCTAGGCATTGAAACTGAAATTTACTGCACCGTGTCGGCATTATTTGCATCCCCGAACGCCCGAAGCGCAGATACACACGCCGTTGAGACCGGTAGTCGAGCCCCACCTTCCTCCGCATCATGTCCGCCGGTTCTCCGCCCCATATCCGCAGATGCCCACATCAGCCCTCGACCGCTGTCAAACTTCGAATATGACATCATCTACGGGAGATGGTATGATGGTAGATCACATAAGCTCCAACTTAGCTTGCGCCCAGACAAAAATACCCGGGAATCTTGTTAATGGTCGATGTCTTTACTTCCATTAGGCATCAGGTCAATAGAAGTGCGCCATTGACCTCATCCGAGGTTTCAACTTGGATACAAAGAGCAAATGAATCTTTTGAGCTCTTTCGGTACCTTTTTACCAGCACTCCAGACTGTGAGCTTTTGACCTAAAAGGTCGTTGCCGTACGCGTTGAGTGCATCGAACCTCACGACCTCTTTGTAGGTATCAGGACCGAGTCGCTGGTGTAGAGAAAGCCTTAAGTAATGCCGTGAGTGGTCAGTCGAGCTCTAGAACAGTTAGACGGGGTCTTACAAATGAAGAGTTTCAGGCTGAAGGTACTTCCGACAGTCGGCGAGCAGGAGGTCTGCATTTTGATGTTGCAATGCTACTGTGGCATACCACGTGCGGCCGGGCTCGCGATCTTGCCAGTGCGTTGTCCCTGACCAGTATGAAGTTCCCCATCGTACAAGCTTTTGGTAACATACCCGCTGATCACCGTCCGCCCATGGAATGCCCCGCTGCACTTGTTGTGGGAAGTTCTTTAGATATATGTAAACAGTCGCGGTAGGCTTGTCTGCATCCTTATGCTTGCTGGCTAGCCTCCATTCATAACCATCTAACCATGAAGCTTTAGTCTCGATATGACGTATCGTTTCATCTCTCTCAGCACCATCGGTTATGCGTACAAAGCGTGCTGGACCGTTCGTAGGATAATGATGGTACTCGATCGGCCTCGTTTCGCGACGGGCGCGTCGGTTCTGTAATTTGGTAATTGACTTTCTTAGACCTTCAACCATTGTTTTGTGACTTGTCGAAGATCCCTCCCCATCGTGTCTTGCATCAAACGACTCAAAATGCTTGGGTATTCGGGAAACCGTACTAGGGTGGGTTCTTACCCAGCTCCTCAGGCAGGGTCCTTTCGGATTTCTGACAGGATCCTCATCTTTTGAAGATTGTGATTTTGGTATATCTGCTTTGCCACTGCTGTTGGGGGCCATCATAGTTCAGGCGTTAACGGACGTGGTGGATTTAGTCGCGGTCCAAGAGCTGTAGACTCAAAATTGTCTCGCCTTTACTTTCGTGAGAATTCAACTTACGAAAGCTATTTTTCTGGAAGGAACCTCTGTTTATGAAGTCTTTGGGTGTACGGTCCCAAAGGAAACTTTAATGCCATGAATCACCTTGAAAGTTCTTGTGGCGTCGTCGTCTGACCGAAAAGGCGAGGCCTGCACGAACACATCCATTGTGCCAGCTATAAGGCACTCACATGATATACCTTGAGCGTCTAGTGTCAAACTTCTAAGTTTGGGAAAAGCGCCGTTTACGACCAACTTCGTGTCAGCTGGGACGCCTGACAGATCCAGTTTTCAGTCATGATAATGCGGGAAGTTGGGCTGAATCTTAAGGATGCCTCCTGCTTCAGCATCTTTGGATATAAAATCTTTAGGAGTTTTGCTATCCGGGCGAATGAGCTTGAATGACCGGGCATAGAACTACATGTGTTAGTTCTCATAGTTTATTTATTCTAGTAATTTCATTTCCCTGCCGTCCCTGTCGTCCCTGTCCGTACTCCTCTTTCTCTATGTATTCCTGCGGTTGTGATTAATGATTTATGTAGTCGTTGTCGCCGTCGTCCCTACTATTATCTGAAGCATGCCCACTACCCGCCCTGGTAGCTAAGAACATCCCCCGAAATAGGAAAACTCGCACTAAGAACTATTAATGGTTCAACGCCTAGGAGTCAGGTCAGTTGGACTGAGATGTTAGCTCGGTGAATGAATAGAAACGACCGCCATTAGATTACGCGGCGGAATGACATAACCCTCACGGGCTTAATTTCACGGGCTTAATTAGGGTGGTAAACGGTAGGGAACATCCATAGATAGAAGAAATGTACACTAAGAATGTTCTTTGACGCAGACAGCTCCAAGCAAAGAATTGCATCCTCAATCATTGGGAGTCTCCCGACTGGCTCAGTCCTGCCTCATACTATGTCATTGAAAGTGGCATCCCGGAGCTGCAGTCCGCCGGGTTCGGCCCCACATCTACCGACTACCGGAAAACATTTCCTTGTTTTGGGGAGGGTGACGTCAGGAACATGGCAGTGATTCCTTCCACAACAACCACCGAGTTTGTTTCCAGAAAACTCTCGATGTTTCCTTTACTCGTGATCCAGAAAATACAATCTCTAGCCCAGGCCAGCTGTCGAGCAGGAAGTGCGATTGAACTATGAGTCAAAACACCACGAGCCCAATTGTCCGAAAGCGATGTTTATTATGGGACTGGACAAACACGCGCGACCGGCCAACCACCATCGACCAACTTTTCAATGACTCCAGCGAAGCACAGACTCCAGCAAAGAAGTCGCCATTCAAGTCGGTGCATAACTGGAACGCATGGTATCCACCGGAGTTGAAGGGTCGGCTCCCTTTCCGGCCCATGATTCGCACACGTGCGCAGATCGACACGGAAGAGTGGGATTGGATCCGTGACTCGGACGCGGAGATGGTGCACTACCTCAACGAACCAGAACGGCAAGGAATCACGCCTGGAGACGCCGCCGACTGGTGGCTGAAGAAGGTTGTCCCGGAGTTGCGGGACAAACGTGGGAAGAAACTTGTCGGACCTGCTTGTGCGAGTGACGAGGCAGGAGACAAGTGGCTTGTAACGTTTATGGATCTCGTGGGAAAGTCAGAAAACGGGTATCCAGACTTTCTTGGTGTTCACTACTACAGCGGTGATTTGGAACATGCAAAACGGTACATCACCTCTATGCACGAGAAGTACGGCCTCCCACTCAATGTTTCCGAGATCGCGTCCATTAGCCGCGACGGAACAGAGGTTGAGAGGTTCACAGAGAAGCTGAGCGAATGGATGGATGGACAAGAATGGATCGATGAGTACGGCTGGTTTGGGTGCATGGCACACTGTGCCGACGATTTTGTTAGCCCTGCGGCGCAGTTGATGGATGATGAAGGCCAGTTTACGCCACTCATGAGGCTCCTGATGAAGACTTAATGGAATTATTTGAAATAATCGACGCGAAGATATGATTCTGAGGACAATAATATCACCTGAAATTTCCCACCACATTATTCTGAAGGCTTGGCCAGGATTGAGACATGCAGTCCTGGATAGTGACTTGAACTCCGCTCCGCCCTGGCAGTGTCTATGAAGTGAGTCTTGGCTGCCCTGTGGCGTTTAGTCTACCTGTTGAATCTCCAACTCTGCGGTCTTTGAAAATATACACGTGGAATCTGGAATTCCGGAAACATCGAGAGTCCGGGAAGCTATAACCTCCGGGTGGCTCCGTCGAAATACGTACTTCAAGTCAACGGCGGGGGTTCCACTCGAGTCAGCCGCCTTCGACCCCAGATTCCATTTTATTACCCGATTAGGAAGTTCGAGTGCAAGTCGTGCATATGAGCGCCTGGTCCATGCTGCTGCCCTTAAACTCTTGCGTCCGCGGACCATCGAGGTTTGTGTGTTCTGGCAAGTTCTTCGCAACCGTCTCAAGTTCCATTCCCTGCCACTCAAGCGTGTCTTTGACCGTTCACATTCATTGCATCAAATCAAGCTCAATGTTCGCTGTTGACACCATGCATTTTGTTACGTACATTTCGCGTAACGATTTCCGCCAGACCACTGCTCTAGATGACCGCCTTACCAAGCCAACGGCCGCTATGCGCAAACCCGCAGACCCCGAGAGGTAAAGATTCGAGGATGCGATTACCTAGAGTCGCCAGAATGAGTCTTGGTTGCCGTTTTCGGTTTGAATTGGACTTGTTGATTCGTCGGATCCAAAATGCCCGCCAAGTCGTCATTTGTAGAGTTTGAGGCGGGCTTCTTCTAGGTTTGCCGCTGAACCAGTACAAATATTTTGCAATGGTCTTCTTCCAACCGCATCTATTCGACTTATGGTACGCCTCTAATAACCACTCATGGACTCACTACACCGGAAACGTCAAATTTTGCAATAATACGAACCGCCCTCTTCGCACATCCAGGCACCATGACTGGTACCAAGGAGAAAGGTCACGACTCCTTCCGGGCCAACTCTCCAGATGACTCCGAGAGCGAACACGTCTCTGGACAAGCTAACAAGCCACTATCACGACCGCCTCATGCTCTAGATGTTGGTCAGGTTGTCACAGAGCTCGAGGTTGATGCCGCGCAGGGACTGACTACCGACGAGGCCTCTCGCCGGCTTGAGGAGCTCGGCCGCAACGAGCTTCGTCAGAACAAGGGTGTGCAACCGGTGAAGATCTTTCTGGAGCAAATATTCAACGCAATGACTTTGGTAAGTTAGATGTGTGTTCTTGGTATTCTCGAAGAAGCTTGCATTCTGCTGCCCAAGGGGCTGTGGAATTTTTCGATTCGACTGACGCTTGATACCAGGTGCTTCTTCTGGCTCTTGGTGCAAGTTTTGGCATCCAAGCCTGGATAGAAGGTGGAATCTTAGGAGGCATCATCGTTCTCAACATTTTCATCGGTTTCGCCCAGACCCTTCAAGCCGAGAAGACGATCAACTCGCTCAAAAATCTCGGTTCCCCAACCTGCAAAGTGTTTCGCAACGGCAAGACTATCGAGATCCAGACGGCCGAAGTTGTACCCGGCGACATCATCGACCTGATCACTGGCGACTCCGTCCCCGCAGACATCCGCCTCATCGAAGCTGTTAACCTCGAGGCTGACGAAGCTTTGCTTACCGGCGAATCCGCGCCTGTCTCGAAGATCCCGAACTCGACTTTCGACGATGATACCGGCCCAGGCGACCGACTGAATGTGGTCTACAGTTCAACAGTGATTACGAAAGGTCGCGGCCGCGGTGTCGTCTTTGCGACTGGCATGTGCACTGAGATCGGTCTCATTGCTGGTGCTCTGAATAGCGGCTCGAAAGCAAAGTCGTACCTGAAGCGCAGCGAGGACGGCAGAGTTTCCGTGTTTGCATACATCATGGCAGCGTGGATGATGACTCTCGATTGGGTCGGCGAGTTCTTGGGACTGACCATTGGCACACCCTTGCAGAAGAAGCTGTCGCAGCTGTTTCTGTGGCTTTTTGCATTCGCCATCATCTGTGCCATCGTTGTCATGGGCGCCAACAAATTTGATTCACGCAAGGATGTCATTATCTACGCTGTAACAACTGCCATCGGAACCATTCCTGTTTCGCTGCTGCTCGTATTGACAGTCACCATGGCTGCTGGTACGAAGAAGATGCTCGAGCGTCACGTTATTGTTCGGAACCTTTCAAGCCTGGAAGCACTGGGCGGAGTGACGAGTAAGTTTTCACTGGAATCCAAAATCCTTTTAGCAACATGTTGCTGATCGCAAGCACCATCAGACATTTGCTCCGACAAGACCGGCACGATCACGCAGGGACGCATGGTTGTCCGCAAGGCCTGGCTCCCTGGAGTTGGCACTTACTCCGTGCAGACGACCAACGATGTATACAACCCGTTCTCCGGCTCGGTCCAGTTCACCGCCGGCCAGCCGAGAGATATTAGTGCGGAAGCCGAAAAGCAACACGACGATACCACCGATCCCATTGACCCGCACCACGAATCTGCAAGCAACTCGGCTCTCCAGTGGTACCTCAACATAGCGTCGCTGGCGAACCTGGCCACCCTGAAGCAAAGCGACGACAGCTCTGCGAATCCGGGAGAATGGAAGGCGACTGGGGCACCCACAGAGATTGCTCTTGAGGTCTTTGCTTCTAGGTTCGGGTGGAATAGACTCCAGTTGACCCAAGGCCATGAAGCCGCATGGAAAGAAATTTCTGAGTTTCCCTTTGACTCTGATGTCAAGAAGATGTCTGTTATTTTCCAGAATCTCGAGTCTCAGGAGATGCATCTTCTCACCAAGGTATGCTATTGAAAGACCCATACGCTCTTGTGAATGTTATCCCTGACAAACTGAGTTTAGGGCGCCGTCGAACGTGTCCTTGAAACCTGCAACACCATTGCTCTCGATACCGCTACCCGAACCCTGACCGAGGCAGACAAAGACAACATTCATGCCAACATGGAAACTCTCGCTGGCCAAGGCCTTCGCGTTCTCGCCCTAGCGCATCGAAACCTTGAGAGCACCGTGTCAGCATCCCAGTTTGCCGAAGGCAAGATCGCTCCCCACCGCGACATTTTCGAACATAACCTGACCTTCCGCGGCCTCGTTGGCATCTACGATCCACCCCGTCCAGAGTCGAAGCCCAGTGTGAAGGCATGCCAAGGTGCCGGGATCGTCGTGCACATGCTCACCGGCGACCATCCGCAAACAGCAAGGGCTATCGCGACCGAAGTGGGCATCTTACCGTCGCCTGAGAAGTTCAAGATGCTGCCGGCCGACGTCGCTCAAACGATGGTGATGCCTGCTCACGATTTTGATGCTTTGACGAATGATCAGATCGATGAGCTGCCTCAGCTCCCTCTAGTCGTGGCACGATGCGCACCTAGTACTAAGGTGAGGATGATCGAGGCGCTTCATCGTCGCGGCCGATACGTTGGTATGACTGGGGACGGCGTAAATGACAGTCCGAGCTTGAAACGAGCTGACATCGGTATTGCCATGGGCTCTGGGTCGGATGTCGCCAAAGAATCTTCCGATATTGTCTTGACGGACGATAACTTCGCCTCGATTCTCAACGCCATTGAGGAGGGCAGGCGAATCTTTGACAATATTCAGAAGTTTATCCTCCACGTTCTGGCAGCCAACATCGGATTTGTTTGCGCTCTGCTGACAGGATTGGCCTTCAAAGACCAGTCTGGTGTTTCGGTCTTCCAGCTGTCTCCCGTGGAGATACTTTGGATGCTTCTTGGAACTGGCGCATTCTGTGAAACTGGTCTTGGTTTCGAGAAAGCGGTGCCGGATATCCTCAACCGTCCTCCTCAAAATGTAAGTCCGCTATCATGGACGAGCCGAAAGAACACTTAGTGCTAACGAAATCAATAGCTCAAATACGGCGTCTTCACGCCTGAGTTTCTATTCGACATGGTGTTTTACGGCGTTCTCATGGCGGGCTGCGTTCTCGGCTCTTTCACAATTGTTGTGTTCGGGTTTAATGACGGCAACCTAGGATTGGAGTGCAACAATGCCTTCTCAAAAGCGTGCGAGCCCGTATTCCGTGCGCGGGCTACATGCTATACGACGATGACGTGGATCTTCTTGCTGTTTGCTTGGGAACTGATCGACTCGCGCCGCTCGCTTTTCTACATGCCTGAAGGCTTCAAGGCTTGGGGCCAACACTTGTGGGGCAACAAGTTCCTCTTCTTCTCAGTCACGATCGTCTTCTTCGTCGTGTTCCCGACGCTGTACATCCCGGTTTTGGATCATGTCGTGTTCATGCACCACGGCATCAGCTGGGAGTGGGCTGTGGTCTTCATCGATGTTTTCGTTTTTATGGTCGGTGCTGAGGCGTACAAGTGGGCCAAGCGGACATATGTCAGACGAAGAGGAAACCAGTCAGGTATCGTTGGATTGGGTGATGATGAGGAATCATCTCTATAGACCTCGTCGAAGTAGGTGAAAGGCGCGCAGTCAGGCATGCATAGAGACAAAATAATGAGCCAATGCATCCAGACTCAGTTTTGGAAGTTTTGATCCCATATCTATGTTGCTGATTCAGTACCCGAGCTATTTTCGGCGCCTCTGTGATTCTACCCAGCCATGCCTTTTGATCTTCCATGTTCATGTGGCCTTCCAAGGTATCGCAATTGGAATGGATGCCTTTGCACTCTGTCCTTCCCCTTCCCCGGGCTCATGTGACTGGCTCCCTGAGGGTTCGGCTGTGTTACCCTCTACCTTCCATTCCTCCGCATCTTCATTTCTCAGCTGCTCTCTCGTGGCCATTAGTGCCTTGCCAAGGCGATTCTCTCCCCAATTTCTCTGATTCACCATCGCCTGTTTCTCGTTGAACCCGATGCCCCAAATGCGGTCTTTTGGTGACGCCTCAGCAAGAACACGATTGCCAGTCCCCATCAGGACTTTCTTCAGCTGTGGGTTTTGCCCAAACTTGGCCACATTGCCCGCTTCGACAACCGCACTCTTGACTTCATCCCAGCTCGTATCCGTGAACCCGACTATCTCTTTCCCCAAAGCCTTTTGTGTCTTCGGGTTCTTCTCGCACATAATTTGCGCCTGCCGTTCGGTGTCGCCGAAACGGGCCGCCTTGCAGTACATCATGTACTGTTCGGCGCAGGTGAATGTGACGCTGCCAAAAGGGTCGTTCTCATCTACAGCTCGCCCCACCAGCTGTGACATTTGCGGCTTCGAGACGGTGAATGTTGACGGGTACCATTGGCAGAACTGACAGTACCTGAAATTTTCTTGGGGCATAAAGAAGAAGACAGGAGTTTCCTCGGACTCCGATTCTGAAGTGTCGTGTGTAGGTGCCTTGGTTCGGTGAGGTTTGTTGCCTTGGTTAGGCTTCTTTGGCTTTTTGGTCTTGGCGGGCGACATCGTGGCTAAGTTTATCGTCCCGAAGGTTGCATTTTTAGGAGCAAATGTCCTGTGGAGTCTATCAGTGACTTCCCGACTTCTGTGTTGTTTTGTCGAGAAGGCGTGGTGGAAAGAGGGGGCAAGGACGAATCGATCTGATGACTCCTCGTCGCCTGCAGCCTGACTGGTTAAGAACCCTGAAGGCTTGCCCAAGCGGGTAGGTTGCCCGACTGGATGACAGCCACCAGATCCCGAAACCTTGTTTCATAAAATGAAAACAAGAGGCCATTGATATATTCAGATGGTAGGAGAAAGTGACAAAAGGTATGTGTTGGAAAACTAGTAAAAGTCCCAGCGGTGCTTTGAGTCTTCCGACCCAAACGGAGCCTTGCACACTACACCGTTCGAAGTATTGAGAGCAGAGACTGTTAATTGTTCGCTATCTTTTCCTTACATCACATTCAGACATCGTCAACGGGCTGGTTCCTTGTCACAATCATCATGGTCCCGCCGACTCGCTGACACAGCTTGATTAAAAAATACTGTCTCGTAAACATGGGGTTTTCCAACGAGAAGGCAGAAAGGCTTTGGAGCTCATAGTGCGATATTCCTGACAAGCGAACTATGCCTGCCGATGGGCTAGAAACCAAGGAAATGCAGAAGGTATGGTGGGACTTTTGCACCAAGGAGCTCGACGCAGATGAGAAGGAGCCCTCCGGAGACAGCGACGAAGAGTGGAGCAGGTCTCTTGACGCCTATGGCATCAAACAGGATTTGAAGGATGCAATCATGGATCCCGTGTTCAGCTATCTTCGACTGTCGCAATCCTGTCGACACTGGATCAAGGATACCATGGATAAAATATGTACTATAAATGGCTTCAACGACGCGTATTCAAACCAGAGAGAGAGCGATGAGCACACGGCTGTTTTTGAAGCCAAAAGAGGGAACGAGATTTGGCGACGACTGCGAGTTTCGTCCGAAGCATCCAGGGTACATACCGCTGTACATGGTTGTGGATAAGGATCGTATTCATCATGTATTCGATGAGCAGGGCAATCTCGATAATCTGGATCAGCTACGAACTGCTGGTGCATCGGACTCCAGCGGCTCATCTGGTTGCTTCTATTTCATCCACCAGTTGAAGCTGGCCGAGCTGCACGCAAGATACGCGAAGCGCAGGGCAGGGGGCGCTAGCGTTGCAATTTTGTGTGTTTTCGTGTCATTCCAAGAGTACTGGAGACTGAAAGCCAGCGGTAAAGCCCTCAGTCTTTCGGGTCTGGATTGGCTAAGCTTCCTTTGGGAGTGTCGCAAGGAATTGAGTTCCAGTCCTTCTGGGCTTTTTGACAAATACGGCAAAGCAACCTTATTGTATGGGGATATTCCGCTGCATCGAGAATACCGGCGCACGAGGGTCAAGAATGAAACTACTAGCGATATTATTCGCAAGCTAACTTGGTCCCATGGTGGCATAGAGAGAGGACGGCAGTATATATTTTCAGCAAGAGCGGGAGAGCGGTTTCTGAGAGAGGATGCCAAGTTTCGCATACTTGCGTATCAGAATCTGTGAGACCTTAAGAGCTCTTCCACGGAGGAGTCACCTTGTACAATAGTCTTCCCAGGCATCAATGATTAGTCTACGTTCTCAGAAAGATTTCATGGGCACGTAGGTTTTATATCGCTGATTGTTGCATAATGGACCGCGAAACTGTGGCACCACAGGACCTTTTGCTTCCAAAAGCACGTATATCTGGGATAGCAATTGCATTGAAAGACAACAGGTATCGGACCCAGGTATCGGCCTTTATAGCCTCAAATTGATCCGCGTTAATAGCCAAGCGGGCTTTTAGAAACTTCGTGCTCTATGCCTTCAACTAGCATGTGAAGGCTGTTCTGCCAAAAAGTTTGCTCTTTCAAAATCAGTCTTGGCGCTCAGGTCTCGTACGAGATTCTGGGCATCAGCTTTCGAAGTGGAGGTCAAGCATGGGTCGGAGTAGCCTAGTATCTAGCTGAAAAGCAAATATGTCAAGTTTTCTGTGGGCGAATTGAGGAGTTTTGAGCATCTTTAAAAGGCCCTTGGAGCAAAGGTTCCTCGACTGTTTGCGCGAGTCAGCCTTATGGAACTGCGAATGACTCGCATCGCAATACCCCTGAGGATATCGCGCCCGGGGGAGCAGCACCGGCGGCTCGGAATGGTCAGTAGCCCTTTTGCAGGGTGTGCGACATGTTATTCCCACGTTGTCACCACTTTATGTCCCTGATTGGGACAAGTAAGCGTAGAACTCGAACGGAATAGGATGAACTGGGTCGTGGGGCTTGACTGATCAGACGCACAGGTCGGCTGCTTCCGAAATTGAAACTTGTGGAGAGTGACCGACTCGATAGGGGGCCATGAGCCTCAGCATCTGGAGGCCTCGGACTGGAAAGCCCTACGTTGGGCTTTAGGGGCATAAGATCCTTTGAGCGTACTTATCGTGTCACCACGCATTCGTATTACTTAATCGGAGCGGATGTTGAGGAGAAAGCTTTTTCTTTCAACTTTCTTTTCGCCCGCTGATGTAGTTTGTGGCCCCACCTGTTGCATCGAAGAGTTTTCAGGCCGAGAATAGAAAAGCGTAACTGATGGGGCATGAGGTCGATAGAGATGGGCCAGGTGCCACCGTATAGGAGTTGCACAATGCAAGAGACTGGGGTAGGAGATGCTTAGTGCCAATGAGCCCCAGAGCCTTGCTGAGCAGAACAAGACAATACCCTCGTGATGGCCACCTCGAGAGATGGAAATGACGCGGAGTAGGAAGAGGTGGGTATGATTCGCTGTGCCGCTGGAGCTGAAACATGAAAAGACGGACAGACGCTCTTGGCTGCCCTGGCATTTGGTAATGGCTTGTTGGAACGCTCACCAATAGTTCCGCAAAGAGTGGCTCATATGGGACCCTCACTCCCTATTCGGTATGTCAATGGAACGGATAACTGCCTTTTAAGGAAACATCAGAGGCGGGCCCCGACCACATCATGGGTTACAAGATCATGCGAGCACAAGAGGAAGGTTGATATGTCGCATTCTCGGCGCGAACTTTTGCTTCGAGTCCCAATTCTTTGGAGCCGGATGAAATGAGTATCTTGGCGACAAGCTGCAGGTTGAAGATAGACTCAATGAGGCGGCAGAAACGAAAACGGGGTTCGGACTGTAATACCGACAAAAGTCGCCTGTCGTGTGGTCGTGATCTTTGAGAATGAGTGTATATAAACAGGTCTGTCTGCGAGGCCAAGAGGATCTATTGTTCGACATCTCTTCCACATCAAGCTTCTTCTTCATTATCGGCTTCCTCCTGGGTACAGCTCAACCGCCATTTTCTCGTCAGCCTCAATCAAGGCTATTTAATCACGTTGTATGTTGTCAGACACCAAGAAATCTTAACCGCCTATCGTGCTGACCTCTTCAAAAGATCATGAAGTTCTCAAAGAAGACTATTCTCGCCACGATGGCAGCCCATGCTACGGCACTCGTTCAGATGGAAGTTCGCTACAGCGACCGAATGGTTGACGTTGGCAATCTCGATCTGTTCGCCGTCACATGGCAAGCCATATACGGCGAAGCGGGCAACACTCGAGCAATCATGACCGATCGATCCTTCGGCTCCCAGACGAACACTTGTACCTGGGCCGAAGACTACGACCCTGATCTGACTGTACAGGTCAAGATGAATGGCGCTTGGGGTCGGACTCCTGGCCTCTCCGACAACCAAATGCGTGACGGCCTTGTTCAGTCTATGTGGGAGGTTCTTCGCACTGTCTCGGACCCTTACGGTTACGAGGTCTTCAACGGTTGCCGCGGTCTTACCTGGATGGAAAGTGTGGGCTACCATGAGGATGCCGCATGTGGACCCAAGAGCGCGCGTAACTGCGAATACGCTTGCCGTAACGAGAACTCCCCTGGCTTGGCCCAATGCGAGAACCAGACATGGGGTCACAAGGTCCCTTCGACTCTGCGTGTCACAGCTTACATTGATGGACGCCTACAGCCTGATGACCTGATCATCGAGTTTGGCGCGACGAAGAACCAGGAGCCCGGCGGCTGTGGTCTTGTTGGGGAGGTTGCCGGGTTTCTCGCTGGATTCATCCCTGTCGGAGGTGATCTGTTCGCCAAGGGCATTGAGATTGGCTGTGCCGAGTAGTAAGGGGGCAGGCAGCTTTCACGTACATACTTTGATCTCAACCTACACATACAGATACTCTGTCTATACATGGCAATCCGTTGCGACAGCATGGTCAAGTCACTGTGCAGGTGGTCTCGTCGGTTTCTTGAATTCGAAAACTGTCGCATTGCATGTGTCAATGCAAACTAGCTCTACTGGCACAAGCATAGGGCCGAACAGCTTCACACCTGCCTCGTGCTGTGCTTTAACGTTAGGCCGAGCACGTAACCTTGAAGCTCAAGAAGTTGTCCTCAATATCAGATGTCTCCTCGCACGCTCCAATCTTGACCTCGCGGGCTCCTTCTCCGCAATCGTTCGAAGAATACACAGTCACTGTCAGGAACTAATTAGCAAGCGGGCACAATATTAGGTGCCATTTAAGAGAGTATGATCTTACAGCTGCAACCCTCAACCATGTAGTTCAGTTCCACGGCCTTGACGATATTGTCTGGTGCCTTGAATGAAGGCTGGCATGTCTCCGTTAAGCCTTTGGTGATGGCCCAGATGCCCCGATTGCCGCTGCCAGCACAGACTTGCTCGCTCCAGATGCGGAAGTCGCCGACGTACTCGTCCTGACGACGAATATTGGCCGCATTAGTTCCGACGAACAGAAGCGCGGGGGCGACAAGATCCCAAGAGAAACGCATGTTGTATGGAGTATTTGAGTAATAGCCGCAACGGTGAAATGATGCAAGTAAAGTATTAATCTGTGTGGCGGAGGAGACAGATGTCCAGAGTTGGCTGCTGGGACTGAGCAACAGAGAATTGTCCGTAAAATAGGAACTCTCTTTATACTCAAGGCACTTCGCCCAGCGCGAGTGGAAC